TTCTCAAATCACGTACAAAAGTGAGGACTACAAATCAACAAGAAGATAAAACATCTGTAAATCAATGTAAAAAAATATTCTAATTGAAAATAAAGCAATATGAGCCCGGAAATAGTAGCGACATAACGTGTAGACATGCTAATAAATTGGTCAGCTTTAAAAGAATTAATGAAATACTATTATCTTTTTATATCAACTTAATTCTTATTTCCTGTTAAATATGATATCCATTTCTATTACTCCTTTTAAAAACATTATTTATGACAAATTTTGTTATGTCTATGGCTAAAAGAATACTTGTGAAAATAAAAATGGATTATTTTGCTAAAATTTATGAGCCAAAATTCAGAAAAATACTTAAACAGGATTCTGGGGGATTTAATTTTTGAATTTCATAGTTAACAATACTTTGTTTCTTTGCATACCACCGGTTGAGAATCGCTGGTATATATTATTCATCATATTATAATAGAATTTAAAAAATTCATCATATTATAATAGAATTTATTATGGTGTGGAAGTTATAGATTTTAAAAATATATTTAGAGCAATAAATTCCAGTAAAGACATTAATTAATGTTTCTCCCAAGAATATGACATTGAAGAAAATGATAGGCTAAAATAATATATGAATACAGAAAAAAATGATCTGTAAAATAAATGATACATTATCATATTTCATAAAAAATAAATAATGTCAAGTAAATCACTCTCACTTTTGTTATCACATTATTTCTAGTTAACATACATACCTTCTAATGAAGCAGTCTTCTTAACTCATTTAATAAACTATTTATAATATGAAATATAAATGGATTATTATAAAAAAATGCAGGCGCACAGCCAAGAATTTAGCCAGATGTTCATGAAATTTATAGATTAAAAAAAAAAAAAAAAATTAGAATGAGAAATCATTAATTTTGAATAGGATGGTAATATTTTATAATGTGAAAACAAAGCTTGGCTTAAACAAATGTTTCTTTTGGCATATATACAATTTAAAATCATGGAAAGAGTTTCCATTATTTTCAGACATGATTTTCAGTTAACATTAAGAGTAACATATACATTTTGACAGCAAACAAAACAAGTTATTTACACACACAAATAAATCTTATAAAGTTCTTTTCTCAATTTCCTTCATATATATCACAATATGAATATACGAACAACAAATATCACTTTTCTCAAAAATATTTTTTTACAGAATTTTAGGTTTTCAATTTAGATCTAATAAATCTGAACTATCTTTGATACACGTGCATAAAGATCAATCTCTTATACTTTTGCTTATCAGAAAGGTACCTGAAATAGTTTTGAATTTAACAACAATTGAAATATTTATTAAAATGTATGGATAAGCTAATTACTGACTCATTACAAATATATTATTAATAAATAAATGAATTATTAACTTAAAGAACAAATTACCAAGGAATTAAAAAAATGGAACACAGCTTATCCTTTATACATATACACATCCATATTTATATACATATATTGAAAAGGAATACTCCTTCAAACTCTAAAAGGTTTTGGAATGAAAGTATTTTCCCAATTTTTGCATTTTCATATCAGTAAATAGGTAAATTATTTTATCCCTAGTTTCACCAAAAAACTCACAGAACACTGAAAACTTAATACAGTCAAAAGTCGTTAATTCGGACACCCATAATCCGGACCTCAAAGCTACAAACTTTCTGCACATGCGTCGCGTTCACGCACGTGCACAGGCGTTTACGAGAGCGCGTAAGACCCTTACGGCTGCGAATATGTTTGTGCGCATGCGCGTTTAATGTGTAACGGAGTTAATCTTCGAATTGGATCCGGCTTATTATTTTTTGCAGACTGTTAGAGCAATTTTATAAAAGTAAGCTTGAGCTTTCGATTATGTCAAATAGAATTTCCGATATATATTTACTACAAAGCGAAAGTATGTTTCGAAATCCGAAATCTGTTTATCAATTTCACGCTGCTCTGCGGCAGAGGGGGGGGCAGAAACGTCATTATTAGATTATGATAGATTAGAAAGATTATGTCAAATAGAATTTCCGATATATATTTACCAATATGTAATTTGTATCTACAAAGCGAAAGTATGTTTTGAAATCCGAAATCTGTTTATCAATTTCACGCCACGGATTGGAAGTTGATCTGTCAGCACTGTCCTTATCTTCAGGGCAGATGTTTTTATTTTATTTGGTTTATAATTCCGTACTAAGTGTAGTATTTCATCTCGATGTACTCTGTCTTTGATATGATTTAAATCAAGTTCCTCGTCATTATAATTCGCTTCCGATAGTGAAGAAAGTGACCCAGAGGTTATTGAAAACGAAAACATTTCGATTGACAAATTAGTCGGTATTCTCAACACAGCAATTATAGGACTTGAACAGCGGAACTTTGTAACTAAACAAGAAATTATGTCTGTTTAATAGAATTAAAGAGAAAGTATTATCACATGAAACGAAGCAACTTACATTGAAGGAAATGTTTAATAAAGTAAACAAATAAATATTAAGCTTTTTCTTTTTGTAAATTTTGATACCCTTTAGATCATAATTGTTCTTTATTTCATAAATTACGGTTTCATATTTTTAATTTTGTAATTTCTGCATGCCATCTTACCAGATTTAAACTGATGATTGATAATCCGGAATCGCCGAAGTCCCAACGAGTCCGGATTAACGACTTTTGGCTGTAATTGCAATATTTAAATTAATATTTTGGAAACCAAAAAAGTAATATCACTGTCTTATTTAGCAAATGAAAGTTTTTTTTAGGCTTTCATATTAACTATATTTCTAGTTATAAAACTTTCATACACACAAAAAAAGAAGGCAAAAATACTCAGTATAATTTACCATTGACTATCACAAAAAAGATTATTACTATTTTATAATCACGATTTAAATTATTATCATTAGCAAGTTTGAAGTACAGTGACATACTTGGAGCTTCCCTCTGCATTGTGAACTGACTTTCAAAACAAAGAAATTAGTCCAAGCAGTCAAGTATCATGACAGTTGCTTTATATAATATATTTACTTGCATATCTTTTCACCTCTTTTCCTACTAATTTTAACACTTGAAAACCAAGACAGAAAAAACAGACAAAAGTGTACCATTTTTAAGCACATGGCTTATAAATAATAAACATAACACATTAGAAAGCACACTAAAAGATGTATTAATATTATTATATTAATTTAAAGGACTTTTAAGTTTCAATAATATTCTTTTTGCTTATACAAAATGATTTCCTATTTGTGTATATATTTTACATTGTTATCATAAATTAAAAGTTTCTGAATCATATGCTAAAAAACTAGAGGTGTTTGGTGTGTTTTTAATTATGGCAAAGCACACTAGGGCTATCTGCCTAAAAAAAAAGGAGGAAGAAACATACAAGTAAATATGGTATTTTTATGTGATATATTTAATTTTAGGTTATGATTAGGCCATCCAAAATTCTTTTATATCTCCTATTCAAGCATAATTATGATCTTAATATTAACATTATTTTAAAATGTACACTGCGCAAAAAAAGGGGGGGGACAGTTCTATATCTCCCATTGACCAACTTCAAACTGCATATTTCATGTCTCGAAAGCACGACTTAGGATATGTATTATATATATATAGCATTGTTCAAATATAGGCATTTTGTCACAAAATCAGACTTTTTCTGAAATGACATGCCAACTTTTTTCCATATTTCCATTCTAGGACTCAAATTATGCCAAACTGCCAAGTTTTGTAAAAATCGCACGAGTATTTTTTTAAAAATTAGGTCTAAAAATTTTAGCTCCTCAATGTTAATTCAATTTGGTATGTATTTAATAATATCTCTTTTTTTCATTAGACTTATTTGATTCATTCTTTCATTGATCAAAATTTAGGTTTATTCCAAATAAAATTCACCCATTTTTTATGATTTATTTTAAAAATTGTATTTTTATAAATTTTTTGAAAAAAAATTTGTATTATAACCTACAAAATTTTTATCATATTTTAATATGATAAAAATATATGTATTTCTAGGCACACCTGCAAAAAATGAGAGTTTTTTATTCAAAATTTTCTTACATATTGGAGCATTTTTGAAATTTGGCATTTTTTTTTTTTTTTTTTTTAGCAATAATAATGCCAAACACTCATTTCCCCCCCGCTCATTTACAATGGGGTAGGGAAAAAAAAGAGGGGGAAAATAGGTTGCTAGGTTAAGAAGTTCGCCAAGTAAATTATTCTTGGCGAAAACTGGAAAAAATATGCCAAAATAAATTTTTTAATTTCTCCATAAATTTTAAACAAAATTTTACAAAATTTAATATTTAGGCATAATTTGAATTGTAGAATCGAAACATGGAAAAAATTGGCATGTCATTTCAGAAAAAGTCCAATTTGTATCAAAATACCTATGTTAGAATGATGTTATATATAAATCTAATATATATCGTAAGTCACGCTTTCGAGACATGAAAAACGCAATTTGAAATTTTATCAATCGGCCCAGTAGAACGGCGGGCATCATATTAACCAAACTATTTTGGTATGGTGGGAGTTTTCAGTATGCAGACGGAATACGTGTACTCCAGATAGAAAATAAATTTATATAATTTTTAAAATGGTCAATCATTAGTATTAAATGCCCTTCCCAAAAAGTGCTTGTGCTTCAGATGCACAAATTCAGCTTGCTATCTGCAGTAGATCAAAGTATTCACAGAATGTTGTTGCGACAGTCAAAATTTAGTCATGCAGATGGAACACGACAGAATAATGCAAAGTCTTTACAAAAAAACAAAAAAACAACAAACAAACAAACAAACAAAAAAAAAAAAAACCATTAGAATGAGAGAATTTATACAGACTGATTTACGAATGATTATTAAAAAACTGAAACTCCAGAATGCATAACATCCATCCCTTTGGTTTTCTTTGAGTCTAGCATCAAGGCAACAAATATTTACACAGAGATAAAGTATTGCAGAACATATCTTACTAGAAACCTGTCATTACTTAATAATTATCAGATCAATAGTTTATAAATAAATCATATGTTTTCTTGCCTACAAAGTGTAGGCAAGAAAACATATGTTTGGTCATTGAAGAATGTTATGTTGGTCTGATGAACTGAAATTTTTATTGCATCAAGCTGATAGCTGTACATGTGTCATGGTATAGTAGATTGATTATTTTGAAAAATGCACGCTCGAAGATCCCTAAAAAGAAGTTTTCAGCTTTTAGATTTGATGCCAAACCAAAGCAAAGAATGGACCAGCCAAAGTCACGTGATTTCAATTCAGTAAACATTCTGTGTATTAATTTTAGTTGGCATAAAAATAAAATAGCTTTCAGTATTGACAATAATATAGTACAAAAAACTATTAAAAATGTAATGTAAATAAATACAGTAAAAATGAAATGTAATAAATATTTTATAAATAACTCCAGTATTTTACATGTGCCACTCAAACCCCTCCCCCATGAATTTAGCCATTATAAAGTGAAATACTCTGATAGTTTTTATGCTTTGTATTCTTATATAATGCTACAAATTTTATTATATATAAAAAAAAAAAAACAATCTTGGGGGGAGGAAGGACCCTCTACACATCAATCTTTTATTTAAAAAAATATAAATAAGAAATAATTTTCAAGGGAAGACTATTATCCCTGTTTATTTCTAAGGCAAGAATATATATACTATTTTCTATATATGCTATATTTGTACATGATTTCTTTCACATAAAAATTTCTTTCTATTAATAAAAATTTTAAGTACATTTTGAATTTGAGAAAACCAATCCATTCTAATATGACTGCTTTTTAATATTTAAGTCAAACAAAATTTGAACTTTAGATTTTCCAGTACAATATATGTCATATAAGAAAAAATTACATTTATGAAATGTTCATGTAATATTAGTCAACAAAAATTAAGTACTTCCATAATTATATTCCTAAATTACAATAAATTAAGAAATTCAGACAAAACTTCATGAAAATTAAAAATAAAATCATTGAACACGGCTTGAAACAGCCTCTATGTTTAAACAAGATGAATTCTATGTTTTTTCTATGTTATGATGAATTCTATGTTTAAAAAGATTAAATATTACTTGCTTTAAGCTATATATATATAAAATACTTTCTAATAATATACAGTTCCTTGGGATAATTAAAACTCTTAGTTTTTGTACTTTTGATATCCCACTTGAAAATTTCACAATACCTACAAATTTATAGAAAAAAATAGCAACATATCTTACTGGTATTATGATGAAAATCATACTTTGTATAATACAATTTATTAATTATTTTTTAAGGACCATATGAATCTTGTACTTCAAAATGTGCTACTTTTGAATCATCTAAATCTGCATACTGTGTAACTGGTATATGAACTGAAACAGCATCACCGGCAACATTCACCAAACACTGGCCCTAAAGAATAAATTAAAATTATAGTAGATTAAAGAATGATCACTAAATGTTGTATTTTGCTTGCAATAATTTTTTATAATAATAATTTTTTAACTAGTTATTTAACTATAAATTTAAGGAAAACACTAAAGACTGGAACTTTTTAGTTTAATTCATATGGTTTAGTTTATAACCACCCTTGACTAAAGCATATTTTTTAAAACTGGACAAAACAGCAATCTTTGGATAGATTTTGAATAAAACTCTATTGATTTCCAGGGCAGTCAAACACAGGTCCCTCTACTTCAAGATAGGGGAGGGAATTCTGCATAGAATTAGCAGTTTTTTTGGGGGGGCGGCATCAATGCTATATAATTGCATGGTATTAGAGACATCTATTAATTATACAAATAGTGTAAATAGTCAAAATCGTAAAAACAACCTTGTATTTAGCGTAAGTATATTGAAACACTCAATCGATTTCAAGGACAGCTAAAGGTCCCTCCTCATCAGGAGAAAGAAATACCTAGAAAGAAGAAAAATAAAGGGGGAAGGGGTCTCAGAAACACATGGTCCTTATCAGCACTGCACGTGGCTATAACCGGATTTTTAATTAGAGTTACATTGGCCGCCTACTTTTACTGAGCCAGGCTATCTGATCAAACATGTAACAAAAGACAAGAAAATTAACGAAGTTAAAAATAGAGAGTGAGGGGCAACTACACCTTCACACTCAAAATCTGAACTTCGAATAATATCCACAATAAGAAAAATAACAAAACGGGCACTATGTAATTAGTTACTAATAGTTGTAAGTTTCAATAAAGTTTCATTCTGTTATTCAAAAGATTTTCAAAGGAAAAAAAATTCGGACACAACTACAAAAATTAAGAAAATGACTGATAGCAACACAGATATTTTATTTCAGACAAAACATATGTATAAAACTTGTAAATGTAATTTATGTAATTTTATCATCTCAAGGTACACCATGCTACTTCTGTTATTTCCTCCCCTCCATTTTTTAATAAAAGTGAGAAAATAGACTAAAAACAGTTGGGTTAGATTGGATTGTGGCATAACATTTAAGGGATGTTTGCCTTTGAAGGATTTTTTAAAGGAAACTGACTCATACTCATGTTATGCATATGGGATAACACAAAAACTCCCATGCAGCTAGCTTGTTTGTTAGGATTTGAATTTGCGTCAAACTAACAGCTTTTAGTGAATTTACTACTTGCCTGGAGAGCTTCACTGAAAAAAATTCCTAATACTTTGGATATTGAATTAAATATAATATAGTATATATTATTTCTAGGAAAAAATACAGTTTAACACATTTTTTTTTTTTTTTTAAATCAAAAATTGGTACAAGCAGCAGAATTACTAACCTGATTTTTATGAGGGTTATGCAATAAAATACACTGAGTTATATGGAACCCAACCATTGCATTTCCACCCAGTGCTGATACATGAGCTCTCACAATAGCTAGGGTTTCAGCAACAAAACTTTGAATAAAACCATTAAGACCACCACTCTGAAAAACAAAATACTTACATATAATCAAAATATATACTCAATGCATATTTAAGTTAGCTGACAAATAAGTACATATTTTGACATAAAATTTCAAAACATCTTTATTGTTTTATATATATTGCATTTATTTAGCAATTAATGATGAGCTCTAAATTCTGTAAAAAAGGGAGAGACAGTCCTCCAAGCACAAACTGTATTGGGATAAAAACTGTTAAGAATAGCTTTTCTATCAGACTAAAAGATGTTCATAAGTTTTATCCTGTATGCTAATTTTTAAGCATCATATTTACTATGAATTTTTTAAATAATACTACAATAAAACCTTTTTACATAAACTCGCTTAACATAAACAATACTTTAGTCCCGGTAGTGAAGTGTAAAATCTTATGGGAAGTTTTATCAATTAGCATGATTTACAAACCATTTTTAGTCATTAGATTTTATCATTTAACAGGAACTTTAAAAGTTTTTCATATTTTTTTCTGCTGTTTCTTTGCTAGGATTGCATTCTGAAATGTTCAGTCCTGCTTGATTAGAAACCTTAGAAAATGCCCTGTAGTCTTTAAAACATAGCCAGCATGAGTAACACTGCCCAATAATCACGATCATTGAATCAACAATAAATCAGGAGTTGGCTCATGCAGATGATGATGTTGCTATGTTTGCTCCAGTGGAATCTGATATACAAGCAGTTGTGTCTCAGATGCAAATGTCATCAGAAGAAAATGAAGAGGACAATATCATTCTGCGCCCCCAGGAAATGTTACACTGTATATGGCTTTGCTACAACATTCATATTGACTGCTATTTTTATGGAAGCCATGAGCACTGTTTGCCCTGAAGTTTGTGATTGCACTTTTTTATGTTGCAGTAGAATAATTGATGTAGTACTATAGTCATTTCTATGACAACATACATAAAATATTGCAATATTATGCAGCTATATACTGTAAATGGTTAACATGTAGGAAAAATTATTCCAAAAATAACTGTTTAACCCCCCAATTAACATGAATTTTTTTTAACATGAAATCTTGAATTTTCGGTCCCTTGAGATTCGTGTCAGTGAGGGTTTACTGCAATTCTGAATTTTTCTTAAAGTAAACTAAACTTATTACTAAGTTTTAAAGTATTCTTACTTCTCTAATACTGCTGCTCTCACGGATGAAGAAAAAATCAAGGTCTCCTAGATACTGTTCAATTTTTTTTCCAGGTATGTAACTCAATGGAGTAATGTCAACTCCATTATGCTCCCCTAAAGACAGCTTAAAGCAAAATAAAACGAAGCTTTAAAATTTGTTTGATGCATTAACAAATTCTCTGAAATTAAGAATGCTACACAACTAGAAAATTACACGAAAGCCAAGAAGCATATAACAAATTGTCTTTGATTTTAAAAATAATGAAATCATAAAAATTATTTAAACTGTAAAAGTGAAGAATTTTTGTTAAAACTACACATTTATATACATACATGATAGCAGTAGCTCCTATCACTTGCATGTAGGGAGGATTTTCTGTAGTGACCTACAAAATTTATGAAATGTCTTTATGAAAACATTTACATTATAGCTTATTACAAGTAGGATAGATTGAGTAAAATCAAATTTTAAAATATAATTTTCTCAATATGTTTCTTATATACATGAAAGAAGAATTAATCAGGATCTGCCGCTCTCTTGAGCAAACCTGTAAATGTAATATTACATAACTCATAATTCATAAAAGTTCTGTCATGAATATAGTACAGATCACTTCTCAAATTTGAATGCCATCAATATAAAACTTTTATACATTGAACCATAAGAAGGTACTGCATTTGTCAACATTTCGATGCTGAAATAAGGCTGTGATAGAAAATACAGGGAATAATTTTATATTCTTTCATTTTCAGATTTTGAATTTATGTATAGATGGCATACCATTCACATTAACTTTTAACATTCATTCCCAGGTGTGATTTGGGTGACTACTAACATGTGAATAACTAAGTGAATGTGTACTGCTAAATAAATGGTATTTCAACAAAGCAATCAAATGTACAAAATTTACAACAGAAAAGGTTTGCTAAAATTTTAAACCATGAAATTAATTTTAATACTGCAAAGTAGTAAACTAATACTCAGTTTTCTTAAAAGCTACTTAAAAAAAATTATCATGTTATCAAATTAATTACACTCCTATGATATAAAAGGCAATATTTATTAAAGAAAGACACAACTTTAATTTTTTTGTGAAACAGTTTTGATTTATTTAAATGACTGTCAGAAAATATATAAATCATAATGATATATAATTTTACTTTTTGCTCATTAATACTATTCTACCCCAAATCACAACAATTTGAAGTTATTTAATTTTTCTTGAAATTATTAATTTTAATTAATTTAATTAATTTTCAAATTGGAGAGCAAAACTTCTCCCTACTAATTAAAATCATGATTTATGTTTCTAAAATAAAAGTGATTATGTGCATTTGAGTAATCACACATTCATCAAAAATCCATCTTTCAGCAAAGGTTAGAATGAAAGCTAATATCTTATCCCAATTAAATATGACAGTGAAAAATGTGAAATAAAATTTGGAGGGTCAAATTTTACAATACCTGAAGAAAGGGAACCTTCTGCAGTTTTATCTTCGTCCATGGGAAACATCATTTCTGAATCGGCACCTAAAAGCAGTGACTTGCATGAAATATGCGAGATTGGTTATTAAAAGTTATAGTTGCAATTGTTTATATTTCAAGAATATTAAAATTGCTAATGTAGCATATAAAAACTTAATTTCTTTATAAGACTTTTGACACTTGTATTGTTAATTCTTGTTAAATTTCTTCAACTATCATTTAAAATAACAAATGAAAGCAGTAACATATGAAAGCAGAGACTGATTTGCACCAGAAATTAACAAGTACTTTCAACTTGGTACCTTCCCAATTTTGTAACATTAAACTAACCTCCATACGTTAATTTGGTACATGTTTACCCAGTACCTGCCAAAAACCCCACCTGTGACTCTGAATCTGGCAACCCTAGAATTTCTTCCAGAGTCTTCAACAAAGATGAGATTTTTACTTCTTTTTCTTTCTTATGAAACCAGTAGAAGGCGTGCACCCAACACTGACATTGGAGATCGCACAGGGTGACTGGGTTACCCCAATCAGTTTCATTAGGAAAATGTGTTATAAATTTTATAGAAACCATTTGATTATAAACAATAATTACAATATTTCATTGAGAACTATACTTTTTTACTTAAGAAAACTTATTTCAATATTTAAGAAAAAATTCCATTCAAAATAATTACATACCTAATCAGGGATCAGAAGCTGACATACACATCTGGCAAACATAGGAAGAATGAATTTTACATGAAAAATTATCACATAGTTTGCAAGAAATTGTAGTTTTATTGTCTTTGGACCTTGGACACATAGCACATCAGCCTTTGTCGAGTTTTGCTTTCTTTGATGGATGTTCTTCTGATCCACTAGAAGTCGCATTATTGATGCTTTCACGAAGCACTTCAGGAAGCATTGGCATATTTTTTCTTATCTCTATGTGGGGCTGTATAAGAGATAGGAATTTCCTCCTATTTTGATATTGTAAGGGAGGGGTCTTTGTTGACAAAAATGCAACTCGGGTATTTATTGCAGCGACGTTCAACATACAATAAAAAACAACCATCGGCCATCTGTTGATTTTTCAAGCTGTCAAATATAATGATAAAATTTCAGAAACTTTGTCTATACCACCTTTTGTTGCATTATAAAAGTGAACTATTTCTGGTTTCTTGGTATCATCACTTTCATCAATGGCATCATCGCGATGCATTGTAGATAACAAAACTACACATTTTGATTTTTTAGGCACATACGATACTAGTGTCGCGTTCTCTTGGAACTCAAATATAGAAGAATAAACTTTCCTAGTTTTTGTTTGGACGAACTTGGTGGGAATTTCAGCCTTGTTTCTCTTCAGGGTTCCTACAAAAGTTCTTTTGCTAGAGGATAACTTGCATACCAATTATCCATTGTTACGTTTCTATCTGATCCAAACAAAGGGGTGCACAGGCATTTTGTAATTTCAAATAGTGAATTTTCAACTCAAAAGGGACCTTCCAGCTGTTGTCTTGCATATATCTCCATGTTATAGCTGTAAAATGGTCTTGAATCTACTAAGGCAAATATTTTTATTCCATATTTCGCTGGTTTGCTGGGTAAATATTGACGAAAGGAACACTGCCCTCAAAATTTCTCTAATTTTTCATCGATAATAACATATTCACCAATAATGTATATCTTTTGGCAATTTTCATTTAAATCGGCAAAAAATTCTCTCACAGCTGCCAGTTTGTCCAATTTTTTGCGAACTTCACGATTGGTCACGTTGTCTAACTATAAACACTTGAGAAGAAAATTAAATCTTTTATATGACATTGTCTTCCGTAAAATTTCGATGCCTGATCCATCAGTAGCCTACAAATCTTGCGTATTTGTATGTGATGATTTATGCAAGCCACACAGATATAAAAGCCCAAAAAGTGCTCTAATTTTCACATCATTTGTCATTTTGGCATCTCAATCTCTGGTGTAATTTACCGATATTTTTTCAATATAAATATTTGTACACTCTACAATGAATCATATCACTTTAGTATTGAAAAACAATTCCCAACTTTCTAGAGGCTCTATTATATTACGTGTAGTTCCTTTTAATCCTGATAAATAAGTTATTATATTTTGAGAAGACGTTTTCACTTTTTGATTTGGTTTTCCTTTCTGCCAAACTGTTTTATTTTTGCTAATAAAAATACTTTTTACTAAATCAGGATTTCCGTTGTCTTCATCAGTCTGCTCAAATTCACTTTCGCTGTTGTGAGAGTATATTTTTTCATCAGATTAATTTTCACTATCTTGATCAATTTCTTCTTCAGAAGACTCAACTTCATCTAATACAGTTTTCAAACGTTCCATCTCTTTTTCATATTCGGTAAATTTACATTTGTAAGCCATTATTTATCAAATAATCCAACAGACCAACAACGGGAACACTCGAGAGCACAAAGCTAAACTGCTAATAATGAAAAATTTGGAAGCAGTAACAGTCGCACGGGGTGACTAAGTCACCCCATTCCCTCAAGGATTCCAAGAAATGATTGCCTCTCTTGCAGAAAAGAAAAACAAGCAAAAATAACAATACACATTCCAAGGGGAATGTCAGACAGGATGATACTAAAAAGATAATTCATTAACATGAAATATTTCCAGTCAGGATTGTTGATTTTCGACATATGGGGTGTCTCTGTGCCCCGTGCGACTTCTCCCGGGTTAATGCTCTCTCTTTTTTGGGGAAAATGAGACTAAAATTGGCTGAAAATAACTTCTTCAATTTTTAAATATTTTTATTTCAAACTTTAGCGTGGTGTCCATACACAAACAATGAAATGCATGTAGGGATCAACAAAATAGGGAAATAAGGAGCAACATGATAAATTTGCCATGATACTTGTCTTCTTATTTATAAGAGTTCACATGGAGGCACAGTCAAGCAGCAGAGAGTAATGATTTGTTTGACACATTTTTCAGTGCAACTACCTAACAATACCAGCCAGAAATCAATAAACCAGAATTATCCAAAAGAGCAAATAGATTGTTCGTAATATAATGATGAATACCAGATAACCAACAAAAGTGATTATTTTTATTTTACATTTTTATTGACAGGGTATTTACTTTATCAGTCTTATATTTTAGTCCTATTTTAGGCTCCATGCATAATTTGATATGATTGGATAATATTTTATTTAAGACTGGGGAATGCTAAAAAATGTTCCCAAATAAATTAGTGGTGATTAGTTTTCCACTTTATGCTGTTTTAATATGAAAAAGTTTTCACAAAATTGCTCTTTTCATTTCGCTTTCTTGTTTGTAAAGCAACTGCAACAACTGCAGTTAATGAATATACCCTCCTAGATTTGACCATGAACAAACATCTTTATAGACAGAGTCTGAAAATCTTAATACTTCCCCCCCCCACCAAAAATATATCACAAGAATGCCGAAGTTGTGTATTCTGTGTGTTCATTTTCTGCACATAGAATATGATAACAAGCACCCAAGTTTTACAAACAATTTTAAAGCAAACCAATCATTAATTAAACTGCATTTATTAACTACAAGGCAACATTTAAAACCATTAGAACGTTACTCAATGGTTTAAAAAAAAAAAAAAATTATTCAAAATAAAGAAAACCCAATTAAAATGAAAACATTTTGTTTGAAACAATTTTAGGTTATAAACATGATTTTACCCAAAAAGGGAGAAGGGATAAATCTAACAGTAATGAGATATACTACAATATCTGAAAATACTCACTATGCTTCTTTTGCTTGCATATACTATTGACAGTTGTAAGTAAATTTGAGTCTCCAAGTCCCACAGCTATGCCCAGAACAGTAACCTGAATATATGAGAAGAAAAACTTTAAAAATCATTATTCTCCTTACATCATAGCCAAGCTGAATTATTTTAACAGCCATGGCAGAGACAAATTCCACCCTACTTCTTTATTACTTTCATCAATGTTTCAATTCAGCCAGAAATCAGTGCCCATACTTTTCAATATTTTAGAATGCATCAGAAACTCTAGTTAAGATAAGATCTGACCCTATCATCAAATTCAATCATAATATCAGCAGGAAATATTTTTATTCCTACAAATTTTTTTAACATTCAGTAAATCTAATGTTGATACTAACTATATAATTTTATCTACTAAGAATTAAAACCTTTCCAGAGAAGTTAATATTATCAAAAAACTTGAGCATATATAATGCAAGAAATATCTGAGATATAAATCAGCACCTACCAGGATTATAGGAAAAGAAACAATTTCTGATTTAGGTTGTTCAATTCAAATTTAAGCCACCAAGTTTCGTATCTATCAACATTTGTATGCATCAATTTTAGTACATGATTCTATAGTAAATTCCTTCATGGTGAATTTTATTCTTCACCAATAGTTTTTCACAAAATATTTAAAAAATATATTCGATAGTTTTAATGAAACTAAAATACTCCTTGAAATATTTACTTTACTTTCATCCCATGCACTATGTCTTACTATTATTAATTTATTCATATTGCATTCTTCTATAATTTCATTTAATATTTGTCATGGATTTGTTATTACTTAAATAATCTCTCATTACTTTAATTTAAATTATATTCTTTGATTCATTATTTTATTTCCATCACAGTTTTTGATAGCTTTCCTCAGAGCTCTGGCATTTTTAATATTAAAATTTAATTTTAAATTGGAAGAGAAACACACCAATGTAATGTTAAATGCAAAATTAAGTAAAAAGAAAAAATAGTTTGGCATAGATTTTTAAAAAAAGTTATTTTGAAGGTGATCAAATTCAAAAGGATAAAAAAAAAATCAATTTTTAAGTTTAAATTTTATGAAACAAGAAATTTATAGTAGCTTTGAAAAGATATACAGATCTATTTCTTGTCAGCAGCTCTGGCAGTAAATAATAATCAAAAGGCAAATCAAATAAACAAGAAACAATTTCTGGTGGTCCAGTTTTCAAAAATGATTAACATCATTTCATTTTAATGATTTTTTTTTATTAACATCATTTGATTTGATGATAACAATTTTGATTAACAGCAGTCTTTGAATAATATAAGATAGAGATTTCCTATTTTAGCATAGAAAAATACAGATTTTTAGTATAACTTAAACAAGAGGGATGAAATTTATGAAACAATGAGTGCACATGTATTCTCATTTCTTGCTGCACATTACAGTTATAGTAACTGTACTACTATTAAGTATAAAAAAAAATGTGAACTCAGAAATATACTGACTAATGACATAATAGACTAATTTGTTTTCTCCATGAAAGAAAACAAATTTCAACAATCAATTCTAGGAAAATGTTAGTTTTCTTTTTTAACAAAAGTAAGGTTACACATATGGCAACAGTGTTTTCAAAGAATGTGTTAAATAATATAATGCTTAGCACTTTACATAAGATTCTTAAAAAAATGTCAACAGCAAATTTGAACTTAATCTCAATTATATAGTAAAAAATCAACAGCAACAGTTTTTGAGCAACAAAGTTCTAGGCAATTGCATATAATCAAAAGAAACAATTAAAATTTTATCAATCAATAATTAAATAGAATTTTACCCTGAAAAGATAAAACAAATTACCATACTTCAAATAGACACTTTGGGGATCTTTATTCTTTTACATGGTTAATGAGCACCTTTCCTGTTCGTCACAGAAAATAAAAAATAGGAACAGGAAATTGCTAAGAAATACAAGTATAAGTATTTTGCCACATCTGCTTTAATAAAATTAATACAGTCAAAAGTCGTTAATCCGGACTCGTCGGGACTTCGGCGATTCCGGATTATAGATCATTAGTTTAAATCTCGTAAGATGGCATGCAGAAATTCTAAAATTAAAAATATGAAACCGTAATTTATGAAATAAAGAGCAAAATCATCTAAAGGGTATCAAAATTTACAAAAAAAAAAAAAAAAAAAAAAAAAAAAAAAAAAAAAAAAAAAGCTTAATATTTATTTGTTTACTTTATTAACATTTCTCTCAATGTAAGTTGTTTAAGTTGCTTCATTTTATGTGATAATACTTTCTCTTTAATTCCATAAAAAGACATAATTTCTTGTTCAGTTACAAAGTTCCGCTGTTAAAGTCCCGTTAATTGCTGTGCCGAGAATACCGACTAACTCGTCAATCGAAATTTTTTCGTTTTCATTAACCTCTCTGTCACATTCTTCATGTCTTTATCCATTTTTTGCAGCAATTCCACTTTTTGTTTGTTGGACATCGAAACATACTTTCGTTTTGCAGATCCTTTGGAAGTTCCAGCATCGGAAATTCTATTTGACATAATCGAAAGTTCAAGTTTACTTTTATAAAATTGCTCTTACAGTCTGCAAAAAATAATAAGCGAAATCCAATTCGAAGATTAAGGAACAACGTAATCATTAACATTAACTGAAATAGATAATTAGATAATTTTAGCTTACACTGCCCGTTATACATTAAACGTGCAGGCGAAAACGTATTCTGCACTTGCGCACACGCATATGCGCAGTAGTCAAGGTCTTACGCGCACGCGTAAAACGCCTGTGCGCATGTGCAGAAAGTTTTTAGCTTTGAGGTCCGGATTATAGATCATTCCGGATTATGGGTGTCCGAATTAACGACTTTTGACTATACATGTTTTTGAATTCTAATTATTTTACCTCACTAGTGCATTTTAAATTTCCCTACAAAATTAATAATCTCCAAGTATAAAACCAGTTCTGGTATTCAGTGAAACTAAACTGGGAGAGGGCATTAAAGTACACAATAGCAAGAGAGTTATTTTTTTCCTTTGAAGCAAAAATGAGTTACCTGCAGTTCATCTTGTTCAACAAGATCCACTTGAAATGTTAGATTTGTAAGACAACAAGGTACTAGCCTTCTTAATTTGACAAATAAACTCTGAAATATAACAGTTTTATAATTAAAAAATACTTTAATGCTTTTATGCCACACTTGTTACCCTCCGAGTGGCACGACTTTTTGGATATGCTCATAAATGATTGTATTTTAAACAGCATTTATTAGCTAAATTTGTAGAATTACTTATTTTAGTCTCTTTTCATAAACTTCCGTTCATTAAGATATTTACATCATTAACGAATTTTAAAAAGCAACATATTTTAAATTATAAGCTAATATATACTAAGTGATGACAGGCTAAAGCTGGTCATGCCACTCAAGGGGTTAAAATGTGGCCCTCAAGAACAAGGCCTTACAGCTTAGTGACGTAGAACATGTGACTTCAGCACAAGGGTGACATACCTTCTTTGGGGGTGAGGGCAGGATTGGGTTAAAGGTTATTGTTAGTCACCACTGCTGCAAGGAAAGTGGTATAACTGCAATGATTGAACTAAAATCTTGGTATATACCATGATTTTTCTGCAGTTGGGATACATTAAATTTGAATTTTTTGGCAATCTGTAGGCTGTTCCAGAAACAGTACAATGTGTTACATATATTCAGAAATAATGGATGTACAAATATGGACCTAAACATACATACTTTCGCTTTTCTAATGATGCAGATCTGAAAGAAAAGTGGATACATGCAATAAAACGAAAGGACTTCCTTCTGACTAAAAACAGCAGAGTGAGATTTCATTACTATGATTTCATTGATAGAAAATTAAATAGATTAAATATTCAATATGTTTAATATGTCTGCTCTTAAAGCCAAAATGATTTCCACTCAAAAACTAGTATAAAATATAAAAGTAAACAATAACTAGTGTAAAAAGTAAAAGTAAACAATAAATTAATTAAGTGGATAATACTACTATTATTTAATGTATTGTTACGAAATGTAAAGGCGCGGTAAAATGGCTTCCCCACAAAGCAGTTTTAGGGTTGCCATAAAATGGCAAGTGAAGCCAGGGTTGCCACATTTGGCGAGAAATCACCCATTTGGTGACAAAATTGGCAATATACCATGGATGGTTGGAGAACCTTCTGGAACAAATTCTTACTGGTTTAGTCCAGAATGTTTCTGAACACAAGCAGAAAGCTATATAAACTGTGCTGGTCTGCAGTCAGGAAGTGTGTATCTCTCATCGAGAGTGTGTGTCTCGTCTAGCAAGCTGATAGTTAGTCACTGAGCGAGTGTCTCGAAGTCTACAGCCGAGTTGGCCGTCCAGTGCATTGAGAGAGTCTTTTAGTGCATCGTCGAGTTTTGTCTTAGACTGTGCTGAGTCGAAAGCTATACTCTAGTGTATCGTCGAGTGCATCGCGTGGAGAGTCTTGAGAGTACGTGGAGTTCCGAGAGCGACCAACAGAGTCGGAAGCTGTACTCTGGTGCTTTGCAGTGAAGCTATCTCCACCGTTATTGCCTGACAGTGTGAAGGCTGTATCGTTGATTGTTCCAGCGTGTTTATAGTAGATCTTTGATGACTGTAAAAAGTAAGTGTTATTGGAGCTGTCCTGATTAATATTGGCTAAATAAAATGTGTTTCGATACTTAATCAAGTGTCGTCGTTATTCACTCCAAATCTACGAACCCCGTACGAACGTGAAGGAAGAAAATAACATAACAGTATAGTAAATTTTGTTTCATGTATTGCAGAAAGGCTTGTGCATTATGATTGTATATTAATCACATAGCATTAAATGTTCAGTAGTAAATTCAGTGCTCAACTATAAATTAATAATCAAGAAAATAGAGAGAACTGGAACTTAAAATAGCATTTGTAATTTGCATTTATTTCAGTTTTATTTTTAATAAACTTGTCATTATAGATTTAAAGATTTAAAAGTAATAATGATTCTCATTTAAAAATTCAAATTTATGTGTTTATAATAATTTAAAGGGATACATTACCCTTTCAACTTTTTGTCATATTTTCAAATTTACTGTGAAAATTGTAATTAATATTATATTTTTAAAAAATGTATAAATAAAACTTGAAAAAAATATTGTTACACCAGTTGCTTATAAAACTTAGAATTCATTTTTTAAAAATTTGCTATTACATTTTTTATATTAAACTTCATACATTAGCAAAATGCTAAATTTTTGAAGAGCTTATAGAGTATACGGTGTTTCAGATGGATGCAGTATAATAAACAATTAAAAAAGATAAAATATACTGGGAGAATGAAGTGCTTTTTTAAGGGATGTGCAATACCCTATACTATCATTGCACTTCCCTGATATGAAATAGGTTCTATCACATGCACTTCAGTAATGAGATGTGGGAACCTTTTCTAACTACCTTGCAAATTTTAAAATTTCTTTAAATTAAACGAGATTTTTCACTCTTCATGGTGACGTCACGAGAGAGCTGGACGGTCTTGATTCTTGATGGCCACGGTTAAATGCAAAATGTAATTTTTTTCACATAAAAATATGACAAAAAAGAGATAAATTATGTGTCATCTAATGCAGAACACTAAAAATGAAAATTCAAAAAATCAGTTACCAAACACACTAATGCGTATTACTAATATCCCAACAAAAGTAGATTGATTATAGCTGTTAGTTACCTACTTATTGATGCATAATTTAACACAAAACAGAAAATACTCAAAACCTTTTATTTTTTACCTTTATGACAGCTTCAAAGGTCTTTGAAACTTGAGTACCATTTGCCGCGTTACAAAACTTTGTGCGATAAATGCGAGTAAACATCTGTTGAATAATTTAAAAAATAATTAGGATACATTAATATAAGATTATATTAGATGATAATGCATTAGAAAAACCCAAACAATAGCAAAGAAAAAAGAAAAATTAAAATATGCATAAAATATATTGCATGAAATAACTCATTCACTTTAATTTTATTATTGAGTTTTAAAGAAAGTTTCCCTGCCATTGCAAATATGGTCTGTGCAAATAGTTTGTGTTGGCATGTTTAATCACATTTTGTCAGACAGTTTTTGGCATTTGAAAGAAAGAGACTTGCTGTGTCATGAAATTTGTAAAAATATCATTAAGCATAAAGTGTCTGAAATGGAACTATCACACTACCAGATTAGAAGCATCATTTACTTCAAGTTCTGTTGCAAAAAGACAGCTATGAAATGTCACCAAATCATGTGTATAGCTTTAGGCACTAATGTTGCATCATATGACACTGCAAAGGCTTGGTATTGAAGTTAAAAAATGAGGACTATAACATTCAAGGAGTAGAGTGCTCTGGACGACCTACTGATGTTGATGAGGGCCACCAGCAAAAAGTTATGAAAGAATATCAATATGCAACCATTAGAGAGCTTGCTAAGGAATTAGACATTAGTGCCACGTCCATTAGCTGCGCTATGCATCCCATAAACTTGATGTACAATCTCTGGGTACCACATGAGCTGACTCAAGCAGATAAGGACAGACGTGTTCAGACCTGCACTAATCTGCTCGAATATCACCGCAAGGACAAAATTCTGGACCAGATTGTCACTTGTGATGAAAAGTGGATTTACTTCAACAACACAGGCTGAAAAGGGGGTTGGTCTGCATATCGTGGGCTCGTCTACAGGTTCAGAAAGCACAATTTGACTAACAAAAAGATAATGCTTTGTATCCAGTGGGATTGCCATGGTATTATCTACAAAGAGAATCTGGAAAAATGTAAAACCCTCAACAGTAGGGCGTACAGTGAGCTGCTAGTTTGTGCTGATACTTCTATCAAGAAAAACGTTGAACTGGAACAAAAATAGTAATGTTCCATCAAGATAAGGCAAGACCACATGTGTCTACATTCATCGGCTGGACTCTGTACGGACTCAAATGAGATCTTTTGCCACACCCACCACATAGCCCAGACATCGGTCTTTCGGGCTTCTATCTTTTTTCCTACCTGCAGCTACATCTTACTAATGCTATCTTCCATTCTGCACAGGATGTCCGAAGTGAGGTTGATCTGTTGACTCATAGCCACCATGTGTCTGGGCAGAAGGCTTTGAAAAACTACCAAAACGATGGCAGAAAATCGTAGATTTGAGTGGATTACCCGCACTAAAAGTACTGCTTTCATGTTTTTTTTCCTAACTTTATAAAGAATGTTTTTTAGCAGAAAACTTTTACTACAACCAGATATTATTCAGAGATACACATATATTAAATTATAAACCTAATACTTAAAGTACCCTGAGATAATATGTGGTGCTATTGATAAGTGAATAGTAAAATTAAACAATACATTTGTAATATTTTGTAAGTCAAAATTAATAATCTGCTATGCACTGAACAGTAAAACAATTTACAGTAAAATTATGCTAAAACAGATTTTTAATAACATTACTGTACATATTAAAGAGTTTAAAATTTTTATATCAGGATTTAAAACTATTTCCAGGGTGATTCAATACAGATCCCTCTTTTTCAGTAGTTAAAAAAAAAAATTACTCCCCATAAGGATGCCTAAGGGAAAGAAAGTGGTAGACTCTAATATAGACGCTACTTAGTCAAATCAGTCATAATTTTTAAGATAGTTTGATAAATACTCAAACAATTCATTCTGCTTTTTAATGATTTTAAAAAAAATGGCACTTTTTAAAGCATAGAAATACTACTTTAACTTATTCTGAACTCTGAAAAGATCAGTTTTTAAGATAGTTCTATAATAATCAAATAATTCATTTTGCTATTTAATGATTTTTGAAAAAATGGCCTTTTGTAAAGTAAAGAAATACTATCCTTAACAATCTTAACAGACTTTGAACTCAGAATTTTCTCCATAAGCATTTAGTTATTAAATATTTTTAAAGAGAAAACATGCATAAACACTAAACATAATCTATTTTATTAGATTTAATAATTAAATATAATTTTCAAAGATTTATCCTTTAGATAAAGTTGCCTCTTCTTGAAAGAACTTGGTGTGATTGATCTAACTTCAATTCATATTATCTCCTAAAAATAGCTCTCATTCCTCCTGAAATGTTATTAATGCAATGCTGTACTATCTGTAAAACTAATCCCCCCCCCTCACAAAAAAACAAAAAAAAAAAAAAAAAAAAAAAAAAAAAAGAAAAAAGAAAAGAAAAAAAAAGATCAATAGGTGAACAATGATTCTTCAAAGAAGTTAGAGATTCATTCAAACTGTACATATTTATTTAATAAAACCATAAACAAAGAAAAGAAAGAATTTGATTTAATGCAGAAGCAATTCAAATTACTGTAAACATAATTTAAATCTACTTTAAGTTTATAAAAACAGGCATTTTAATTATAGTTTTCAGTACACTGATTACAATATGCTTCAAAATAATCATAGCACATTGTCTCATATACCAAAATAAAAGAAATATTGTATCAACTTAAGCAGAATTTCAGTAGGGAAGATTAAGATTATTTTACGTATATCAAATTTAAGCAATCTAATTAAGTTGCATATCAAATTTAAGTAATCTCCAAGCTGCTCTTTTATATCTCTTTTTTCTTTTGGAAAGGAGAAAATGCTAGAGCAGGGGTTCTCAACCGGTGGTATGCAAGAGAAAAGTAGGTGGTAAGCAAAGTATTTTTAATTATTAAATTCAAAAATTAAAACCTCAACATCCTGACTGAGTTTTTTCTCTAACACTCGTAAACTTATGCGATCTGAGTTTTGTTCAAGAGTGGTGGTACTAAAGGTTTTCAATTTTTGTTTAAGTGATACACGATAGTCAAAAGGTTGAAAACCGCTGTGCTAAAGTATACTATAAAACCAGTTCATCACATTTGTCCAGTTTCAGATCATTTAAGACAAACTATTTTCTTAAAACAACAGTCTCACCTGAAGATTGCAAATAAAATTATCCACTCCAGGTAATGTTTCTGTGTTGCATAAATCAAATCCTGGAGGTACTTTAGGATCAATTAACTGAGCAATTATGTCAACATCTTCTGCATCATCAACCTAAAATTTAAAAAAAGAAAAAGATTTTACTATACAAAGCAAGAAATTCACATCACTGGAATTTTGAAAAATAACTGAGGACTTTTAAATTTCCCACAAAATAAAATTCCACAACTGCAATAAAGTTCTCTCACTTGAAAGCTAAACATTAAGTAAAATCATTAGTATACAACAATTAAAAAAAAATAGAAGGTTCTATAAGCATATATCTGAGAAAAACAACTAATAATATGCATAAAAATAATATGTACAATATACTAATAAAAATGATGAAATTCAAAGTAATAATGCATAAATAAACAAAAATTTTAAGACTAAATATAATAGCTTCAAATTTTTCCTTATTTAGGTTAATTATTTCATTGAACTCCCCCCCTTTTTTTACTAAGAAGTACATATGTTATTTTCACTATATTTCTTCAAAAAGATGCTGGTTTCTGGTTTTAATTTGTTACGCAAGGCCAAACAGCTAAACACTTTTATAACCATTATGCTGAAGGAATAAAAAAATCATACTACATTAACACATTAAAATATATAAATTAAAAAATGTATTTAATATATTAAAGCAAAATTCAATAAAATTGAAATCATTTTGAAGAATTGTCATTGGATCCTTTTGGATTTTTATCCATTCTTGTCAAGTTTTATTACCTGCCAGATACCTTCAGCCTTTTTTCTCTTAGTACTCTCTTCTTTTCCTTTCCTCCATTTTCTCTTCAGAGATGTTATCCTCATCCAGATCTTACTACGTCATGTGCCCCAGGGCTTGATCTCATGAACCGGCAATGTTGTGTCAAGCAATAATGCAGTATATCTGAATGTCTAAGTCTAAGAATTTTACTATATCAGGTTGTCTATAGATCTTGCACAGCTCTAAAGTAGATCTTCTCCACGATCCATTCACATATACCCTACAAGTATGCAATGTAATATCCTTCTCTCAAAAATCCCCAAAGCTTCCTCATCACATAAAGTCAGGGCTAAAGTTTCTGCCACATAAGTCAAAACAGATCTTATACGACTCTTGTAAAGAAGTAACTTAGTTCTTAGCTTGAGAAAGCTAGATTTTTAAATACTAGCTCTTTCAGCCATGAAAACATCTATTTGCAGCAGAGATTAAGTATTTCAGAAGTTATCTCCTTTTTACAATTCAGCTCATCCAAATACTCTCTCCATCTCTGTAGAATGTCATTCTTCTCACTCATGATAGAACCATCTTTACCTCTACGAAGTGTTAATCTATGTTTAAAACTTCTCCGTCCATGATTGATTTCGTGAAAGAAAGCTCTGTCTTCCCCTACTCTCTAAGATATTCAACATAAGAACATTCTCTTTGAATATTTTCATGAAAGTTCCCTTTTTTTAGCATGGTGGATTGTTTTTTCATTTTTTCTAGCAAATTTACATTTGCCAACAGCTAATCTAGTATGCTTTAATTAAGACACAATAACATGCCGAATAAATACTAACAGATGTGTACAGAAGGTTGTTTATTCTCCTATCAATAAAATTCCGAGTTCCATACTCAAGGACTCCATTCCGGATAATAATTCTTGGGGTATTTATAGGATTCCTTGCCAGTGTGGTTTAATTTACATTGGCCAAACTAAGAGAGCCTTAAAATTTCACGTCCAGGAATATGAGGCATATGTTAGAAAAAAGGAAACACAGAAGTCTTCTGTTGCTCAACATTGCTGGTCCGAAAATCACACTTTCAATTTTTCTGCTGCCAAAATTATTCAAAAAACATCTTCCATTGGGGAACTGGGTTTTCTACAGGCATTTCACATTCAAAAAAAAAATCTTTCTGTTCTAGTTAACGATCCTAATTCCAATCCATCTTTGCCTTTGGCCTTTAAAGAAATTATGTTTTAGTTCTGGTTTCACCAACAGATGGAGCCACTTGCTTATTCTTGCTCAGGCTTTCTTATCTTATCTAAACACTATTTTCTATCTTGTCATTTGCGGTTTTGCAGCTGAGGATGGTGGTTTGGTAAAACCATCGAAACTAGTCCTGTGAAAATTTTGAAAATATAACGCTGATTTTTGTTGTTTGACTTCTGAACTAGTATGCATTCTTTGAAACATATTCTATATGCCTTTTTTTAAAGGTCAGTGGCAGTCCTACATTCTTTGTTAAATCAGTCATCACTCATTTCCTTTTTTGCTTTTTCTAAAACTCTGTTGCCAGTTTCAATGAGAGTCATCCTTAAAAGATTCCAATTCCCATTTATACCCTCCAACTCCTTTAATTTCAGGCTTTTAAATTGAGTTTCTGATTTATTTCGGTATCTCTGCTTTATGCCTCTCATTTAGCAGCAGATAATTAAACTTCTCTTATTTCATCTCTTGCTTTTTATAAGTATTAGCGATTCTTGCTCTGATTTTCTTCATTACCAAGTAATAGTCAAAATTCGCTCCACTATATGACCTGATATCCAGTATGTCTAATGCATGTCTGTTATCAATTAAGACATGGTCAATCTGATTGAAAGTATCACAATCTGGAAATCTCCAGGTCATTTTTTGAATACTTTCATGTGGAAAGCAAATACTGGCCATCACATATCATATTTCATAGAAGGAAAAAAAAAAAAAAAAAAACAATCTTTTCCCATCATCATTTGAGACATAATGTAGGCTATGCCCACCAATGGTAAGTCTGAACCTATTTTTCTTTATGCTCTTGGCCTTTGCATCTCCAAGCAAAGTCTTGATATCATACATAAATAAATTAATACATAAAAATACACCTGAGATTGTGGAACTGCAGCACTCCCTATTTCCACTTATTATTATTTTTAATATTTAATATAGTGTGCCCTTTAGTCTTTAATTCTTTATTTATACTTTTACAATACATAATCCTTAAGCTTAATGTCAGTAGCCATCACCTACTTTGTGAAAAAGGTCCAAAAGTCTTCGTTTGGAACAGTGCGCTTCACAGTTCCAGTGATGTGGTGGTTGGCTGTTCTGCGCATGCGCACACAGAAAACAGCACGCGAGCCGGTTAGAGAGAAGAGCACTGTTGCCCATGCAGTGCCGAAATTCTGGCATGTTGTTGAAAATGTGATTTCTTTTACTCCGTGTGGTATTTCTTCACAAAGTGGAACTTCATCATATGGACCATAAAGATAGTTCATGAAAATTTGCAGCTTTTAAAAATTTGCCTCACTGAAATTCAGTCAACATTAAATGCAGATTAAACTATTGCAAAAGCAACAGGAATTTTAAAATATCTAAATGATGGTAATTTCAAGTTTTGGTTAGAGCTTTTTTATCAGATGCATCACTTTGAAATAATATACAATTAAATGCAATCCAGAGAAATTACTGTGTTTAAAGTTAATGAATATATAACAAATTTCAAAACTGCTATTTTAGAATTGAGAAACTCAAAGTACTGCGAGAATTTTCAAAGACACTGATGGCAGAAGCTAAGGAAATATGTGACTTTATACAATGTATTGATATAATGCACAGATATTCTTCCACTAAACACTTAGTAGCTGTTAAATTGTTTAACATTCTACAGAAGAAATAGTACTGACCACTGAAGCATATCCAATGATTGACAATGAAAAGCTTGAAACTCAACAAAAAGTATTCTATTGTAGGTCTGATACCCATAAATACTGCAAATTAATTGAGCTACTGAAATTTATCTTCAAAAATAATCTAGATTATGTTCTTAGTGAAATTACGAAACTGATAAAATTCTCTTGAGAGTTCCCATGACCACCAGAGGCAGAACGCTGCTTTTCAACATTGAAAAGAATGAAAACCTTTCTAAGAAGCACTAGGAATTCGGAAAGACTAAATGCACTTGCATTGCTTTAAATAAAGAAAAATTTCCTCAGTTGTCATCCAGAGATCAAAGAGAAAATTATTGATCTTTCTGCACAAATTAAAACAAGAAAAATGAATTTCATTTTTAAATGAATAGACAAAAATTGAACTGTAACAATTTTGGTTAAAGTAATTAAGAAATGTTAATTTTTTTCTTGTAAGATTTCATGAAATTTCAAAATAAATTTTCGTTTTATACATGTTTGTTTCCTTTTACACAATTTTAAAACAAAGGTTAATTTTTTTTTTTTTTTTTTTTTTTTTTTGAACAGCACCCCCACTAATTTTAGCCACTAGCTGCCACTGCTCAGAATGAAAAACACGTGATTATATGCCTAATACATAGAAAAGCATAAAAATTTTCATAATCAGAAATGGCAATATAATTTTGCATTTTTTACTACATAAATGAAGGAAGTCTCCACTTTTGTTGATCTGGTCTTTTGGACGGGATATGCAAATTATCTCGAATTTTTGGACGGTGTGCTATTTAACCAATCAGCATTGCAACATGATAACATGGTGAATATATTTAAATGTACTGACACAAATGCTTCTATGTGCTATGTTCAAGCATTTTTCACATGTTGTATATATCATTTACAAAACCAATTTCAAAAAAGTGTATTGCCTCAAAGAGACAGCATTGCAGCATTACACCCCTAATTTGGTAAGTCTATGTTTGAGACAGAGGACATTGGAGGCATTGAATTGGAAGAGGCCTGAACATGGAGGCAACAAGTACGGCACATGATTGATACCTTAATTTAAGTATGCATTTTTGAACAAACATGGTATTCATCACATTTGTACAAATACCATTAAATGTGCTAGCAATTCGCTTATAAAAACACTTGCACCAAGAAAACACATAATGTAACCAAATTTATATTCTGGCAATTACTGGGCATTACTCAATTTCCAGCTGTCTATTAATTGCAATCATATGCTGCTGCACAATTTTGTAACTAATGATTTTTCCTGTAGTCTTTTTTTTTTTTTTTTTTTATGGGGGGGGGGCAGAACTAAATTTGATAATTTTCCCAATTTTTCCCAAAATGGTGCTGCAGTACCCTGTTATTTGACTTTGCATACTATAAATAGATTAATGTGTTTATATATTGGGACTGGTGATTCAGAAGTAAAAA